GTCGGAATTAGGAAATTATCGAGAATAGCATGGTAGAGGATTTCGGACAAGGTGCGTCCATCTAACTCGCCCTAACAACACGAGCAAGTTGCGAAAACGAAATCAAACCGCTTCTATAGAGAAAAAGAAGACTTCGACCTAAATCGAGACCATATAGATGTTGAGGTACGTTTTATTTCGTTTGAAGAATCGAGTGGAAAGGATTCGTAAGTTGGCCTCACCGGAAGCTGTAGGGGGATTTCCTTGCAGCTGTGATTAGATTTGTGCGAATAGGCCCATGCGACGGACATAGTCAAGGCAGAACACCATGTTTTACGATAATTCATCAAGGCACAAAGACAAAAAAGGTGGATGGCTTCAAACCTATCTACGTCTTATAGTCAAATTTGGTCCACTTGGGCATCTCATGTTTTGGTCGGATATCCTATGCTTCGCTTAAATATTTGCTGCAAATAAATCCAGTTTTTCTAAATACCTGGAGATCACATTGTCTTGGTCTTAATATAATGTGATTAAAAAATAAAGTTGATCTCTATAGCTGTAATGGAAAACAGTATGAACTTTTTATAGTCAAGATCATCCGATACACAAATAAAGTTCAAAAGAATGACTCCAGTTTCATCGGGCTCTTTAAAATCCATGCTAAGAGCTGATGCAGAAATGGTAAAAACCATTTTAGTGCGGTTTGCCTACATTGAACAGAAAGCTGGGAATATTTCAGATTAAATTGGTACCATTTAATAAATAGTCTGCTTCGATGCGAATTCGGAAAAATATGAATAAACCCATGTCAAGGATATTGAGTTGAATTGTAAGCCGTTATTTAACAAGCCCCATGCTCACCTCTTCGCTGTTGAACATGACAGATGAAGACAAGAGAGAATCTTGAAAAAGTAGAGATGATCTTGGTAGGTCGGCAGCAGTCGCATTATCATGACCAGCAATTAAGCGCCGAGGGACACCTAAACGCGTGCCCCGTTTTATTAGTACATCAGTACCAGGTAGAAATGGCGCATGATGAGTAGCATTTGAAATCAGGATGGTCTTTGGGGACTTTGTGCAGCCGTTCAAAGATTTATCGTAATTTCGAGCGGGAAGATTCGATGGATTTGAAGATTCATCCTCTGTATGTTCTGCATGTGACTCGGTTGTTGCAGAGCTAACAGAAACTGGGCAATTGGCATCAGAGTCTACCAGAGGCAAGCGGGAGAATATCGTGTTGGCTACAGATAAAGGCGTTGAAATTCCTGGGTAAGAATTGACCAGAGGATCGGACAATGTCATCAAAGGAAGAGCCTGCTGTTCTGTTTGCCCCTCAGGGACGGTAAGACAACGGGATGTGGACTCGCTGAGTGCTGGATGATGATGTAAATCACAACTAGTAGAGTTGAGAAGACGAGGATCGAACGGTTTAGGCCCTGGACACTCATGGTGGTTGAGAGTCTCCTTGAGAAGATGGCTAATTTATAAGTGGAAAGATTGCGAATAACGAAAAAAAGACAGAAAATAAGAATATAGACACATTGAAGGTCCACGATAATCTAAGCGAGAAACTCTTTTTATGAAAATACGCTTTTAAATGAGATTAAGATTTAAAAGGAAAGGATAAAATTCGGAGTAGACATAAATATATGCATAAATATAGACATAAATATATGACAATAGAGTTTCACAAAAATCCTAAACTAGTCAAAAAAGCAAAATGGAAAAGGCATTTATAAAGTGCAACATGGAACATGTCAAGAAGATGTAAGCCTCTCATGTTCCAAATTTTTACTGCTTAATACTCACATAACAAAGCTAATATGATATGAATACA